AAGATAAGGGAACAATGAGTGGATGACTAATTTTTCATAAATGGTCCATATTCAATTGAGAGCATGCTCCTGGAAAACCGTTTATCCATCTATATATACTTGATTGATTTCAACATTGAACGAACAATTTAGTAAAATCACTGATTTGCATTGGTCTCTTTAAGCTTCTAGAAACCAATCAAACATGAACAACCCAATTTTAACCTTTTTTCAGGTTTTTATGCCTAGGCTTCCAAGTCTTGAAGCCTTGACTCACACCTCATGCCTTTTTTTTGTGCAACAGGTGAAGAACTAGCTTGTTCGTAATTCAAAACAAAAATCTAACAGAACTCGAAATCAGAAGCGTCATTAAATCACCTGGAAGCAGCTTGTTCCCACTTGTTTCAGACTTGGGAAATACTTGGCCGGGTTGGTAACAGCAGCATATGCATCTGCAAACAACTTTTCAAGTTTCAAAATGATTTGAGGACAAACGAAAAAACACATATTACATTCGCATGGGATAACGACAAAAACTAACTTCGAATATATCCTAACTTACAATAATCGCTATATTTTCAAAATTTCAATTATGCCCGCAAAGTTGGTCTGTAAATTGAAAAATGAGAATTTTATTGAAAATCGACCTGTATGGTATACGGTTTGCTTTTATAAGCTAAAGCAGATATCACGTCTCCAAGAGTTTCTGAGCTTCCGTGAGATAATTGCTTTCAACATCAGTCTTTGCAAGCTTTTCACTTCCGGAAAAGTCTACAAGCCAAAGCTTGCTTCTCGTGCACTCCCCCGGCAATCAAATTATATTGGATCTTACCATCATACAGAGCATGCTGAGAAAGATTAAAAAAAAATAAAAAATAAGAGATATAAGAAAGATCCAAACAGAAATTGTTGAGAATCGCATCTGAAGTCTGAAGGTTATCAAAGAAAGATACATCCTAGCATATTTCATATCCATGGTTTACACTATTCATCAAATTGAGAAAATCAAGTTCAATTATCCAAACAAAAGGCAGAGAATTCCACATACATGTATAGCAGCATAGGAGAAAGCTTAATAGAAAAACACAGATACACTTGACGAAACAAAATTGCAACTAAAGAAAAGACACTAAAATGCATGGTACCACAAATAAATTAATAAGTGATAGGGCAATAGGATCATTGATGTTTTTCCTTACATCTTCCACCTATCAGCCAGTTAAAACTCCTTCATAATCGATATCCTCCGAACAATGTCACCATTTTTACAAACAAAACAATCTTTAACAAACTTTCTCCCCTGACCCACAAAACCTATAAGGAAAACAAAAGAAAACGGCGTCAGCATCATCAATCCCCACAAAAAGAAATAAAACAAAATAAGTAAAACCAATAGATAGCAGTATTGACCTTTAGTAGTCGACATGAAAAGAACTATTTCAGGAATGACGGTTCACATTTGTGCCCGAATGCTCTAAATATGCCACTGCTTTCTTCTTATAGTTTCTTCTGTTCAACAGTTTATAGTTTCTTCTATTATTTGATGACAGCATGTCACTCACAGCTCGAGCTTCATCCAATTTGTTATCTTTGCATAATATGGAACTCAGCCAAATAGCATTATACCGGCAGGGAAAATACTTATGAGAAATCATGTCTTCATATATCCTCAGCGCATCAACACTCGACCCGCGAGCACAAAAAACACGGAGAAGCTTTTCATAAGAAGATTCCGAAGGCGAAAACCCTCTTTTCTGCATCATATGAGTGACAGATAATGCATCCAGTAGCCTCCTAGCGCTGCAAAATCCTCTGATTAAATTGTTGAACAGCATTCGGTCAGGAGCAATACCGTTCGCATTCATTTTATTGAATAATCTCACGGCGCAATTAATTTCGCCATTCTGAATATGCCCGTCAATGAGAATACTGAAAGTCACATGATTAGGGTGCAATCCTTCTTGTAACATCCGATCGAGATGCTTGTAGGCTTCCGGCATGCAGTGGGCCCAACGAAACCCAGAAATTATTCCGTTATACATGTACAAATCTGGCGTGAGCAAGACCTTTTCTATTCTCTGGATCAGATCAATGACGAAATATTTCATCTCGGCTTCAGAATTGATCGAGATTCTCAAACCATTTCCATCAGGCAAAACAGCTGTTTGACGTAACAAACTGAACAAGATTTCGTTCCTATAGTTCGATCTCTTATTATAAAGCAGGTAGCCACTTCCAGTGTACTCACGAATATTCCTGCAAACGCCACATATCAATGTGATATATGTGACCAGGTCTTGCTCGAGCCCACTTTTATTCATCAAACAAAACAACCTGAAAGCAAAGTCAAATTCTCTCTTCCTCAGGAACTGTTTAATGAGTGAGGTATAGAGAGCACCATTCGGCATGAAACCATCTCTAAGCATTCTGTCGACGTACAAGCAACCTTTCTTGATCATGTTTTTCTTAATTAGCGCAGGTATAAGAGCCGTATAAGCATGAGAGTTAGGTCTAAGATTATAATCCCTCATCCTCTCAAACAACCTCCGGGCTTCATATGCCCACCCATTTCTCGAATAGGCATTAATCATCGTGACAAAAATTGTTTGATCAGGATCCACACCAAACTTGAGCATTCTATAGAATAAATTCTCAGCATCACGAACCATCCCCTGTTTGCCTAAACAGCAGACTATCGAATTATAAATAGCAACGCTCGGTTTGATTCCCCTTTCTTCAATCTGATCCAAAACATCAATAGCAGACGAGAAATCGCTCTTTCTACAGAGAGCGTTTGCTATAACCGAGAAAGTTAACTGATTAGGAATCATCCCATTATCCCGCATAACCTCAAGTAGAGATTCTGCAGTCTCAGCTAAACCCTGCTCAATAAGCAACTTTATCAAGGAATTAAAAGCAGTGCGAAAAGGCACCAGATTAAGACTATCCATCTTTTCCATACAATCCAGAGCAGATTCGATTTCCCCACACATACACAGGGCTATAACATAAATACTAAATGCCACATCTGCTGAAACAGAGCCACTTTTTGCTATCTCGTCAAGAAGAAGCTCGATTTCCACCATTGCATCTCTCGCGGATTCAGGTCTCGAAGAACAAAAGGTCGAGACATCGATACTACAAGATTCTTTGGCAATAGCTTGCAAAACGGTCAGAGCAAAGTACAACTCATCACCTGGCGGGTGGTTTTTGGCGAGGGTGAAGAAAAGCACGTGGTCAGGGACAACCCTGCTATCGAGCATCTTGTGGTATAACCCATACACTTCCTCCACCTTCTGTTCCTTACAGAGTGCACCAAGTAATGCCGTGTAGCAGTGCACATTGGGAGCAATATCGTGTTCGATCATGTCATCCATAAGCTTTAATGCGCAATCAACTCTATTGTCTTTGCAGTACTTATGGAGAAAAAGCTGATAAGTCACTGAATTAGGCTTCAAACCAGAATCCACCATCATATTAAGCAGCACCATGCTCTCGGAGAACAAACCCATGTTAATAAAGCCGTGTATCAACGTGTTATACACGTAGTAATCCGGCTCGAAACCCATTTTCAGCATCCTCATAAACAACCTCATGGACATCTTCATTTTTCTCCCTTTGCAATAAGCATTAATCAGGTACGTGTACATAAATTTATCAACCTCAAAACCATGAGACTCAATTTCAGTACACAAAATCTCGGCCTCCACAGCACGGCCGCATTTGCAGAAGCCAATGAGCAGTGATTTGCAGATATTTGCAGTAAGTGGGACGCCTTTTTCCACCATGTCATCGAAGACATGAAGCCCCTCGTCTAAAAACCCCCGTCTACACAATCCTTCAACCAGCCTATTATAACACGCAAAATTGAGCACGGTATCATTGGCCTTACTGATTTCACAGAAACAGTCATAAGCCTCCAGGATTCTATCTTTCAAAACAAGGCCTTTCATTAAAGCATTGCACGAACCCACCCAAGGTACAACCTCCGACCCAACGAGCCTATCAAAACAAAGTTTCGCTTCCTCTAATTTTTCGAGCTTACAGTAACAAATAATCATAGAATTCAACAGTTGGCGGTCCGGTTCAAGACCTTTGCCCACCACAGAGTCCATGTACAATGCCTCGGCCAACAGGGCCTCGCCCGAAATCACTAGCGTGCGGATAAGACTGCCATAACTATCTAAATCGAGATCCATACCTCTCATAAAGGCGAAATCGGCGGCCGAGATTGCCTCGGGTATAGTTGAAGACTGCAAAATCAGCCTCTGAATCACTTTCTGAGCTGATGAAAACAAGCCCCGGCGCCATAGATTGTCCGCTAAATAAAAGCAGGAGTCCTTGTGGGAGCTTTGGGATGGTGAAGAAGAAAATGATGGCGTTTGGGGCTCTAATGGCATAGGGCGACTGCTGAAGAGTCGCCGTTTAACAAATTTGAACCGGGAAGCCGTGCGTTTCATCATTTTTGGTTGAAGATGATGTCTTGAAAGGGCAAATCAATGGTTCTAAGAGTAGCCATGAGATAAGGGGTTGGTTTGGAAAAATGATGAAGAGGAAAGGGGGTTTTGGAGGGTTTTTGCGCACAGCCGCTCGAGTTTGAAGGAAACTTCAGTTGTGTAGATCAGCTATGGAAAAAAATGAAAATTACGTCTATAATAGACATAATAATTTTTTATATCTACTCATCCTATTTAAGATATAAATTTTCATTACAATGTAGTAAATTTATTTTATAATGAATATTTATAAATTACTTAGATATATTCATTCAAAACTTTTAGAGACATTTTGAGATTTTAATTTGATATATTTGAACATATTAAACTTTTAAAAAAATTGAGGTATTTATTTGAGCTTTTAAAATAATTTAAAAAGTAAATAATATTAAAAGGTCATGAGATACTCAGTTTATTTAACAATTGAATATTTCTAAATTTTGTAAAAAATACTGAGATTTCACTAACAAATCATATGCAAAATTTTACGCCAAAACACACCTTTAGATATAAAATTTCCAATGTTTTTCTCTTGAATCTAGACGTCTTAAAAAAAATTCAAACGATTTGACTATATTAATATTTTATATACTATTCTTATAAATATTTATGCATGATGATAAACATAAATAATAATAATAATAATAATAATAATAATAATAATAATAATAATAATGATAATAATAATAATAATTGGAATTTAATCACATTAAGTAATACCGAGAATGTAGATGAATCAATCTTATTTGACATGTTAAATATATATGTGCATTTGTTTATTCAGTTTCTAGTCTTTATTTGGACGTGTATTTAAATGACTTTCTTTTATTTATTTAACATAATATATATGTTCTCCATTAACATCTTTTACTTGATTAGTAGATGATATCAGTTTGACCAATGTTAGTGGTTCTGTTCAAGTAAAATCATCAATGAAGTATCCATTCGAATGATTGTTTTATCATTTTATGGATTGAAATAAGTGTATCAAAGAAGACCTGTCTGCATAAGCACGAGTCTCTCAGCATGCCCCAGCCCACGATGGGCTTCACCTCAGCTTATTCACGTCAAAGGTACTAGCAGTCGTTTTCAACTGTTGTTCCCCTCCCAAGGGCTGAAGGGGATGCCTCTTGGTACTGTTGGCCTTTTCTCCTCACTATGTAAGCTACAACTCGAAGGGGCTGAAATTCGACGCAGTGCATTTTGGTTGTTAAGTTATAACACGTATGATTTATTTGTTACATCTAATGTTATATTATAAATTATACTTTTTGAGAAATGAAAGAAATGAAATTAGTTGTCCACCTTAAAATTGTTGCTTTGCACAATTTACGAATCGCGTGTTAGTTTAAGGGCTTGATTGGAGATAAGTTATTTGGATTTGATTAGATTTATATATGGGATTGAGTTTTTTTTTTCGAAACGGCAATTATATTAAAAACTGAAAAATTCAAAAGAGTACAACTGGGGGTGTTAACTAACACCAAAGGAACCAGAAAAACTAAACCTATCCCCTCAGAGCGGTGTCCAAGGGATACAACCTCCATAAAGGAAACCAAAACCAACACCAAAACACAACTCTATAAATGAGACCAAAACCAACACCAAAACACAACTCTATAAAGGAGACTTAAACTCCAAAATGGAGACTGAAACCCAGACGCTGCTAGACTTAACTAAACAAAAACAAACCTAAAAACAAAGGGAAAAAAAAAACACACACACACACACACACCTAATACACAAATAGAGTAAAACCTCCCCTAATCCTAGCAAAAGAACCACACAACCACCCAACCACCTAAACTGATAACCGAGTCCCAAACCACAACTAAGAAATCCGACAAAGCAACAAGGCTAGACCTTAAACGCAAAAACTGCGGTCACTCAACAGCCTAGTCAGATTTTCGGACCGGATCTATACTCTGTTAGACGTCGGTGTCGGGAAAAACTATGTGAGTAGATAAAAAGTCAACTAAAGTTGATGTGTGGAGATAATTAATTGATAATATTGATAAAAATTGGAATTAGTTGAATTTAGAGTTAAAAAAATTATAACTGATTTTTTTGCACGAATTTACTGTCGGAATGGCAAACTCAGCCCCGTGTAACAACTACGGGCCCACCGAAGCCCAATAATAGCAGCCAGTCCATGCCACTACTAAGCGTACAATTTAACTAAATAAATTGGGCCCACATTACATTACCACCACAACCCACGGACCCTATGTTTGAGGCTTTGATCTGCACAATCAAAATGGAGACCGACCCAATTTTTTTTTTTCCTTTGTTTTTAGGTTTGTTTTTGTTTAGTTAAGTTTAGCAGCGTCTGGGTTCAGTCTCCATTTTGGAGTTTAAGTCTCCTTTATAGAGTTGTGTTTTGGTGTTGGTTTTGGTCTCCTTTATAGGGTTGTGTTTTGGTGTCGGTTTTGGTTTCCTTTATGGAGGTTGTACCCCCTTGAACACCGCTTTGAGGAGATAGGTTTAGTTTTTCTGGTTCCTTTGGTGTTAGTTAACACCCCCAGTTGTACTCTTTTGAGTTTTTCAGTTTTTAATATAATTGCCGTTTCGAAAAAAAACTCAATCCCATATATAAATCTAATCAAATCCAAATAACTTATCTCCAATCAAGCCCTTAAACTAGCACGCGATTCCTAAATTGTGCAAAGCAACAATTTTAAGGTGGACAACTAATTTCATTTCTCAAAAAGTATAATATATAATATAACATTAGATGTAATAAATAAATTATACGTGTTATAACTTAACAACCAAAATGCACTGCGTCGTATTCAGCCCCTTCGAGTTGTAGCTTACATAGTGAGGAGAAAAGGCCAACAGTACCAAGAGGCACCCCCTTCAGCACTTGGGAGGGGAACAACAGTTGGAAACGACTGCTAATATCTTTGACGTGAATAAGCTGAGGTGAAACCCATTGTGGGCTGGGGAATGCTGAGAGACTCGTGCTTGTGCAGACAGGTCTTCCTCGATACACTTATTTCAATCCATAAAATGATAAAACAATCATTCGAGTGGATACTTCTTTGATGTTTTTACTTGAACAGAACCACTAATTAACATTGGTCAAATTGATATCATCTACTAATCAAGTAAAAGATATTAATTGAGAACATATACATTATGTTAAATAAATAAAAGAAAGTCATTTAAATTTGGGTCGGCAAAGTTTAATCCGTATCATTAGAGGTCAAAGTTGAGTTTAATTTATTAGATGTATAAATCGANTTTTTTTTTTCTTTTAAAGTCATAATATTTATATTATTACGCCCCTATTGTTGTACTGTCTAGCTATCATTTATAATTTCACTAATTATTATGATGTATCGTGTTCACTATTATTACGTAGCGGTCAATTTTTACTACACCAACACATTGCGACATCAGCTGTATTATGGTGACAATTGGGCTAAAAAATCGATTTGTTAATTTTAAATATTTGGGACACACAAAACTATACGTGAGAAAAATGTGCATCCAATAAGTGGCATAGTAATTAAGATTAGTGAGTTCTTTTACGTGCTTTTATTATATCAATTTGGTATAATTAATGCGTACTCACTTCATTTTATATTACACTAGCATTCTTTGAAATATTAGTAAACTTGTGTAATTATATTTTATATTATAATATTTCATATAAAAAAAATAATAATACAACACTAGTTTCTATTTACGTTTTTTTTTTTNTCGCAAAGCACACAGAGTGAAAACTGGGGGTGTATACATTAATTACGACGGGCTTACGCCCCGTTTAGAGTCAGCTTAAACTCCGTTTTCCAAGTACATAGTGATGAAAACTGAAAAGTACATGATGATAGCCCATAAATATCAACTGTATAAATTATAAATATCATATTGTATAGTGAGGGATATTTTTAAATTATTGAAATATTGAATTGTGTGTTATATAAACAACAGTGTATAATGATGAGAGTCGGTTGTGGTGTGAGAGGCGTATTGGTGACGAGCAAAGAATAAGCTGACACTTTCAATCATGCTCTACACCACTCTCTGATGAAAATGATTTTTTTTTTTTGGCTATTTTATTTATGATGGATATGTTAATTATTTTATAACATTGCAATATAAATATATTAATTCTTGTGTTAACGAAAAACATAAGAACGAGTTAATTAACAAATTTACGTTTATAAAATTTTAAATATAGAAACAATTTTTTATGTTAAATTTTTAATACTTTTTAAAATATATTGTTTTATTATTTTTTATTTGAATTGACACTTGTCAGCACTAATATTCGTTTGAGTTATTATAATAACTTTTCAACTCATATCATCATATAATAGGCCATCATAAATGATTTTATGTTAAATAATAAAAAATGGTCTAATTATCAGTTATTATTGATGATAATTTAATATTTATTTATTTAATTTTATTTGGAATGGATATTGTTAACAAAAATGATTAAGTTGATACATCATATTTAGAACTAAGAAGTTGATAATGAATTATATAAATAAAAGTTGAGTTTAAAATATATTTATAAGCATCGAAAAGTAAACATATAAGACAACGAAACACCAATAAGAATTCATATGTGTAGACATTGAAATTTTAATATTTTATTAATAAATATCTTTATTTATTTTTGAACATAAAATTCATAATAAATAAGATATATAATTAATAATATTATTATTTCTTGTCCACCAAGTCAAATCTTAGGATAAAAAAGAATCTTAGGAAAAGAGATTATATCAAATCAAGAATAACCAATCAAATTGATGTCTTCTTCTCCAAGACTCTCTCTCCTACACCTATAAATAGGGCTCTCCTCAATGCCACAAATCACACCTCAAAATTCAAATCTCAAATCTAAGAACTCTCAATAATTCTCTTAAAGATCCAAATGTGTTCTT